AGTCCTTGTTATAGATTATTTCTTAACAGAGGAAGTTAAAAATAAAATAATAACACTATGCAATCCGAACTACTCCAAATGTCTCATGTTTCATGGAAGGGTTCTAAGGTAAGTATGGTCTCATAATTTGAAATTGAGAAAACATAAACTCAAGTCAGATTTCTTAAAAAAAAAAATCTCGTTTGGTAATTGCAGGAGAAAACAGGATCCATATGACATACTCCAAGTCACCCCCATACAAAAAATTAAACAAAACACACCAGACTAGAAACAGCAAAACAGAATAACAAGAAAATACAAATCAAAGTGCCAAAAAACAAACAAAAAATATAAAGCACAAAATACACTAAGTTTCACTCAAAAGACAGACACTGTGCTTTTAAACAACTTGAGTGTAAAACACAAAGAAAAGAAAATTAAACTAATTGGTGAGCAGAGCAGTGGCAACAGTAGTGACAGAATGGTTCATTCCATGCTTCCCTAGGGGGTCCTTCCTCACCTGGGTAGCAACCCAACCTTCTGGTGAGACATAACATTTTCTTTAACTCCTATTCTCTTAGCTTTTCCCAGCATGGAGACCAGATCTAACAGTGGGGGATGCCATGTACATATCTCAGCTCTTTTATATGGTGCCCTCACTGTGGTTTGTGTGTGAAATGACCTCAAGGGGCTCAGGTGTTCACCTCCATGACAGAATGTATTCCTCCCTGCCCCCAAAACTGTGACCCTGAATTCACACCCTTTTTACCCCTAAGCTGCTTCTTCTCAGGCAATTATGTCACAGCATCAGAAAAGCAATGAATAAACCAGGCTTCACTGAGCAGAGATGCCCTTCCTGGTCACATTCAACACTGTACTTCTTACAGAGTGTGATGGGGGTTGGGGGGGGAGTGTCAGAGCCTCACGACCTGTGCTTTGCCTTTTGACATGGTCTGTGCCCATTACCTTCTCTGAATATGGGCTTCTTTACAGAGTCCTCACAGTGGCACACTGCTGGAAATTTTCAGACTGTCTTCAGTTGGATCTTATCCTTCAGGTTTTAACCACTGTGTTTAAGAATTGCCCTTGTGCTTCTTTCTTGTTTCTTTAGATGGCCTCACCACAGAGGCAGCTCATTTTTTCATTACACCCCTTCCTGGTTTTCTGTGGTTACTTATTTATTTACACCTGTTAAATTTTATTAAAACTTGCTTTACCCCAAAGGGTGACGAGGTCCTGTGTAAAGCCTTTCCTGGGCATCTCTGGGATCAAAGGAATCTGAGCAGAATGCTCTTCGTTGAACACCCGAGTTTTTCTTTTCTTCTGCATCTGTCTCTCTCATCGCTGAAGTTGGGGTGGCATAACCAGTCTGGGGAGTATACATTTGTGTTCCCAACACAAGGTTAGTAGACTCAGGTTTTCTCATCTCAGGCTAATAGCTAATACCATATAGTTTGGCTTTTACACAAACCTCCAGTTTCCCTCAAGGCACTGTTTATTTTGTTTGTCTTTCCCAGACTGCAAGTGAATTAATGATCTCTTCCCACTGCTCCATGCTCTTAGTCTCAGTTATTTTATTTCTGAATAGTATCCTGACATGCTGCCACATTCCAGGAACTCACATACTCCATGGAGGAAGAGGACTGATGGAGAGATGAATCCTATGCATCCTGCAGCTCCTGGCCAGGAGAATGGTGCTGACCACTGACACGTTCTTGCCTGCCTGCCTTCTACCCTGAATCAGCTGCTGAGGGCTGGGAATGAAGACATCTTGGATTACTTCTAGTTCGGCCCAACCATCTTTAGGGACAATCTCTTTATTAGCCACTTAGTTATTATCATAGCCCTTGCTTTCCACAGCTATGATTCTATGTCTTTGCATCCTAGACCCACTGGCTTGTGGAAAGATACTAGGCCTCATGATGCTCCTCAGCTTCCCAGCATGAACACCTGCTTTCCTAGAGGAGCTGTAGAGCCTTCAGAGTGGGGAGACAGTGTAAAATCTCAGGACATTTACCAAGTATGAGCTCTCAGGGCTGTCTATGGCTGAAGAGGGCCTAAATCTAGTACCTACTGTCCCATCTAGGCTCCCCATTGACTCCTACAATGGTCCAGCCTCACTTAATTGTCTATGGTTTCTTACATGCTGTATCTACTGCTTGGCTTAGCATTCTATTCCTCCTCCTGCCCTGAGACAGCACTGTAGGTCTTTCCCCAGGGTGCCCCATCATTTGTAACTAACTCACATGATTGTGAATTAATGTTTTCCATCTCCCTACTAGACTGCACAGCCCAGCTCTCATGGGGCTATGCCTGCAGCCTTCCTTGTAGATGGTTTGCCTGGTAAGTGAAGGAAAGGAGACCAGCATCAATCGTGACTTCCCATATTTGAGATGGCCAAGACTGCTTCTAGCTCTGTGTAGAAGAGTAATCGTGTATGAATCCAGTTTCCCTAAACAATGAAACCCTGTGTAGTGTGTCAAACTTTAGATGGCTTTCCAAGCTCAGTCAAGTTGAACTCTCATGACCCGAGCCCCTGAACCTGCAGTTAACTCTTAGCCAGCATAAGTGAGGGAGATGTGATATTAATCCAAGCCTTAGAGTTCCTCACCCAGCACTCCATCCATAGTAACTCTATCAAGGCAACCAATAGCACAGTTACTCAGACTGCTTGCTAGGCATGCACCACTTGAGTTCATGGTATATAACCTTCTACTGTCCCTCAAATGTCAATGCATGAGTGAACAGCACTTAGAGAATAATATTACATGAAAACCACTATCCAGCCAAGAAAAGAAAGTCTTAGCTCACTGGCACTGTTTAAAATGAGAGCTTAAGACTCACTTTTCCTGATCCCTGGAAATTCTAATTATGTTTCTTTGATTAATGTGAAAGAAATCAATAAAATATATCTGATTCTAAGGCTACTAAATTCTGAATAGAAAAAATGTATAGCCAAGTTGATCAATATGGTATGTCAATCATGTAGTATATTTATAATGATATGTTTTGTATTATGTGCATGTAAAAAGTATACATGGTCATAATCATGTATATTTGTATATATAAATTATAATGAAAATTAAATATGATAAGCAAAATCATCCACCCACAAAATATAATTGTATTAACAGCAACATATATGATAATTTGCAGATAATTATTTTATTAAAGGTGTAATTTCTAGCTTTTTATGGAAAAATTGAAGTGATAATTTTAAATTTTAACTGATTTGGAGATTACCTCAACCTTTCACCTCTTCTTGCCCCCTTCTCAAATGCTTTGTGAGGCAATTAATAAGACATAAACAACCCTTTGCATGTATGTTCATCAGGCATTTGATTCATTCTTTTCAGAGGTGAATGATTTCTGAGAATTCTGAAACTTATCAAAAAGTCAAATTTTAGTGATGCAACTTAGAACTCCCATCTCAAGCAGATGCATCCTGATTGTTAGTCACCTCGGGAGACAGGTCACATTTCTCCCCAAGACAAGCCAAGCTTCGAGTGTTGTCTTCATTGGTGAAGAAAAAAAAAAAAAGAAAAGAAAAAAAAAAGCCAGGTAAGATAAAAAAAAAAAAAAGTGAAGATTTGACCAATGGTGAGCAAGGTTGGAATGAAAGGTTGCTAGAACATTATTTGCAATAAGCACCATTTCATCCTTTAAGGATCACTCGTCCCCAACTCAGAAGGTAAAATTAACAAATGCTGTTTGAATATTGTGTAAGAGGTGTGCTGCATCACCTGAGAAGTCGTCAGTTTCCCAGTGAACATTAGGACATCCATTAGGATGTCTGTGTGGCCTTCTGCCACACATGCAAAAGAAGAACGTTACCCAAAGGATCTATATCCTTTGGATAACTTATAAAAGTAACGGGTAACGGGTATCTTATAAAAGTAAACCTGCAGGCGATCTAGGCAACTTCACACATGCACCAAGAAATATCATTCTTCTAAGAGTCATTGAAAGTCATGGTGCCCTCCTATAGTACGATATGTGTTATCAAATTATATTCCATGACCATTAATGCAAATAGAAACATGAACATCGTGGAGTTCGATGTTATAAACATGTGTACACTTGATGCTTGGTCAGAGCTCAATCAGCAATGCACAATGACAAGGACTGAAGGCACTTTTCAGTGGAGAATCATAAAAGCCTACAGGACTTGTTGCCTTGTTCTTCCTGAGTTATTGCTAAACAAGAGTCCTTACAAATTGGGATAAATATGCATCCAAACAGAGAATAAAGTAAATGTATCCCCTGTCCCAGCGTTGGTATCCACAGGAACAGCTCCTTATTACTAAATTTTAGAGACACATATTGAGATAAGCTTGGGAGGTAGGAAATTACAGGGAGAAAATGTAATTCTGCAGTCATAAAATATTCCATAATGGAAGGGGCCGCAAGACAATTTTGGCACCGGCAACATTTGCTTTTGTAATATGATCATATGTTAAGGTGATTTTAAAAAATCAATTTAAAAATTCATAAGATGATTTTATTCTCCCATTACAATACAGGTTTATTATGCAATATTTCAACCAGAGATTGTTGGGGGGGGTTATTTTACAGGACAAATGTTCTCTTGGGTCACTTGATCCCAACAATAGAACAAAACCCATCTTCCAAATGTTTTATAATCCATCTCCACCATCACCCCCATTGATACTGCAAAATTCACAAAAGCTATGTATGTACCTGTGCCCTGATGACTCAAAAGCATCCTCACATGCAGCACCCCAGACAAGCAACACTGTTAACAAGTGACAGAGTCTTGCCCATATTATCCTATACTAATCCCTCCACTATCTCCTTGTCTTCAAAATTGACCCTATTGCTGAAGAATGATAGCAGATAAATGACCCAACTCTAATTTTTAAAGATTCACACTGTGCAATACATTATAAGAGAATTTGCTAAGAGAATTGTGTCATGAAAATGGCACTTTGTTTTCAAGCTGACTCATGACTAACACAGGCAGGCACGAAAGTCATCATTACTGTTATTTGGGGACTGACCTGGCACTGGTTGAGCTGCTAATACCACGGTGGGGAGAGGCCTGGAGGCAGGAGCTGGCCTAGACAGAGACGGAGTTACTTGGCTTGCCAGAAAATGAGGTTTTTCATGACTGTGGAAGAGTCCTGATTCCTCAGGATATATCCATGTTGAATCCAGAGCAAAGGAATTATTTAAAAAGATCTGTTCAAAATAAAGGCAAACAAAACATTTAAAACCAAAACACTTGGTGGAAGATACAGGTGCAGGCTATTGTTCACTGGTCAAATGGTGGGCGTTATACTACTGGGCTATGCCATAAAAATGTGGATCTAAAACTTAGAGAGGTTGCTATAGGAAACCAGGGAAAGACCTCTAGCTGAGATCGGGCTAATCTTCAACTATCCACCCAGCCAGTTAGTTCAGTGCAGCAGCCAGGTGACAAACTGAAGAATCAGCCAATGAGACCACAGCTTTGTGTGGTAGAAAAAGTTAATATGTCACTCCATCTTTCATATTCAAGTAAGTAAAAGATATTCAGGAAACTTAAGTTCATAAACCATCAGAAAGGAGAAAAAACTAACTAGGAATCATGAAAAAAAAGACTCCTTTTCAAAATGTAAAACTTGCATTCTATAATATTTAAGAGTGGATTTTGATCAGTGGTTATAGATTTTAAAGCTGAAAACAATTCTGATTCAGAAATTGTTTTTTCAACAGAACCCAAGCATTTGAGTTATGACAAAATTATCACTATCTGCTGATGTCTCTGAAAAGGTCAGTCTGGCTGTGAAATGAGCCTTCTCTGTACTCAAATGGTCAATCTATTACAATTGGAAAATGCTTTCTGTTAACATGGTGATACCCAGCAACGTATCAATTAAAAATTCACTTATCCAATTAAATCGCTTGCACTATTACCTTGTAATTAGGAATCCTCTTATCTATCCAGCTTTTCCCAACAGGAGGTGGCAGAGCAGAAGGACAGACATGGGGGAAAAGGGGCACCAACTCCACAGCAGAGGACGGAGATAGTCCTATGGATGGAGAATGACCACCGAACAGCCACTGGACCCAAAATTTCAAGAGAGAGAGAGAAGAAACATTAGCCTGTTTTGTATCAAAATATGCTGGAGTAACTGCTATGATAAGGGAGTTTAAGAGTAGAAATTTGATGAGAAAACTATATCATTTCCGATCAAGAAAAACCTTGAACATTTATAAATGGCAGTGAGACTTGTGAAAGTTTCATAGATGGAACATCATAAAATTATCAATTCAGTATCTGTCAATATTGGGGAGGACCTTCTAAGATAAGACAATAAGAGACACAAGGAAATGGGACTTCTACAGCCCAATGGTTACACTGGCTTTATAAACTAAGTAGGTCAGGGAGCAAAGCCAACAGTCAGGAATCTTAGAAAGGAATTGGTGGTGGGGGGGTGAGGGACATGGGAGAAAACAAATAGGGCAGGGAGAAAGAAACCAGAAACCTTTCTATACATGCAGGAAACTAACTCAATAAAAAATAAATTAGAAAAAGAAATGAGTTTCCGGCCTGAGCTGATGGGAAGGGCAAAGGCTGGCTTTGAGACTATTTCTTTTGAATTCCCAGCCTCTCTTCATGGAAAGCACAGAGCTGTGTCTCTGGCATTCCCTTCAGTGTGACAGTTTGTATCCACCTCACCTACCATTTTGAATCTGTCTAAAGGAGCTAAGATTGTAACTTTCTCAAGGGTGATTAATACAAACAGATTCTAGAACCAAGGAAATGTAAGGACTGTTTGACTGAAGATCTCAGACAGCCACCACCGGGAAGGGACAGACACTGAGTACAGGTCACCCACTAAAATCCCCTAGGCTGCACCCCAGTAAGGTGGGGGGTGGGGTGGTAAAACACTCGGAGGCCACTGTTTCAAAGGCACAATGTTTTCTTGTTTTGCTATATGTAAAACATATGTATGGCTTTCTGATTCTGCCTACCCTTCTTTAGATAGTGAATAGCAGAAAATAGTCAAAAGACAAATGCTAAGTCTTTCCAGATTTTTCTTTTTTAATTTATGGGGAGGGAGGGGGAGATGCAAGGCTTTTGGGGGGGAGGGCAGTTTTTGACATTATGTACCTCTAGTGGTAACACTCTGAAATGACAGCCCTCCTAAACATGGCAAAATTTACCAGAGCTTATCCAATAAAGTCAAATACAATGTGCATCACACATCAAGACAGGATGCCCTGTACAGCATGTATCATTATCATTAAGTCTAAGGAACAGCTTAGGGGAGGTTTCATGAAATCTTCTAGAAAACCTCATAAGGTGGTACCGGGCTAGAATTAATTAAAAGGAGTATTGTGACAGAACGCTTATTTGAATATGCTAATAAGGTCAGTCTCGGAATGAAATATATGCTATTCCTGTATTCAAACTCAATTGCACAGATAGTGAACAAAGACTTTGGCCAAAGTCAGGTGAGGTTGCACCACCGCACCATCACTCGAAGGTATAGTCACTTTCCTTTGCTGTTCTAGGTTCTGCATGCCAAACTCTCCTAAAGTGGGATCCGGTTTAAGAGAATTCAAATGGCAGGAGAGGAAAGCCTCCCCACAAAACGCTCTCAAGGCAGGATTTCCAGGCTGCCTTCCGTGGCTGGAATTCTCTTAAGCACTGCCCTGAATCTATGTGAAGGAATAGGGGGGACCAGATCAGAATCAGAAGTAGCTATTGATCCGCAGCTTGCTTTCAAGTCTGGCGGAGACTGTAAAAGTATTAACTTCGAGGCGATGGCAGCCACGGTAGTTGGTTACCGCGCTGTGCTTGGCG